CACACGGGACAGCGGGCGTCACCACGTGTGGTGAGGGGAGGCCGGGCCCTGCCGTGTCTGCCCGGGCCGCACACGGGACAGCGGGCGTCACCATGTGTGGTGAGGGGAGGCCGGGCCCTGCTGTCTCTGCCTGGGCCCTGCAGAGCAGAAAGGGCATCACCACGCAGGATAAAGAGAGGCTAGGCCCTGCCGCCTGTGGGTGAGAGGTCCCCCAGGCCTGAGGGGCTCATGGAGAATATCCCCATGGGGGACATCCTGGAGTCAAAACCACTATCACAAAGAATCACCTTAGAAACCTTACAACATTTACACAAACGACATGTGCAGAAACACAAATTCCACGTCTATCGTGCCCTGCAAACTCAGACACCTGACGGGCACTTCCCACCCTTCCCACTGCCTCGCTGCAGCGCCCCCACTGCCTCGCTGCTAGTGCCCCTCACGCTTGGCTGCTAACACGCTCTCCCCCCAGGTAAAGCCCCCCATCAGTCTCAGGGCTCTGAGGTGGTCTTCCTCAAGTCTACGTCAGAAGGCAGCCAAGAGGCAGGGAGGGAGCCCCGGTGGCGCGACAGCTAAGCCCTCGGCTGCTGACCGGAAGGTCGCTGGTTTGAACTCACTTGGTGGCACTGTGGGAGAAAAGCCCGGTGATCTGCTTCCATAAAAATTACAGCCTAGAAAAACCTACAGGGCAGTTCTACTCTGTCACACGGGGTCACCCTGAGTCGGAATCGACTCAATGGCACCCAACAACAAGGGGAGAGGCAGTCCCTATTTCACGTCCACACCTTTCAGGTCAGCAAAGCAGCCCACGACCTACACAGGTGCACTGTCTTCTGTGGCCCAAACCTGTCCCTGCTCATCACCTAGGGGAGGACGCTGTGAGGGCTGGTCAGTGTCGTCGGAGCCTAAATCCACAGGCCACACTCAGGCTCTGCAGAGCGCCAACTCGCCCCAGAGCTGGCTCACACCGGTCCCTGGCCACTCACAGACCCCCAAACCCCCGAGGGAGTGGTCTGTGTGTGCAAATACACCCAACACGCACACGGAGGACCAGGCTCTCCCACCTCACCCACTGTGGGCAGACGGCGTCATGACCACTGGGAACCAAGGGTCTTTCCTTGAATCAACTCCCAACCTGCCGAGGCCCGGTGTGCCAGGAGAGCAGAGAGCACTTCCGCTAACAAGACACCACCTTGGGGCGCCCTCCGGGGGGAAGGCAGGTGAGTCACAGGGCTGGGCATTCAGACACTGGAACCTTCTCAGGGAGCCTGGGCACAGTGAGCGAGGCTGCCTGGTTAAACGGGCCTGGGGCTGGTCTAACGGCAGCTGCAAACAACCCTCGGGAGGCAGAACCTACCAGGGAAAAGGTCCTGCTTCTAAATGGCAGCGACACATGTCTGATTACGCACTCCAGGGAAGAGAAAGCAACCGCTACGCAATGGGACGGCAACATAGCGCAGAATTTCAAAATGAACCAGGGGAAACACTGGACTCAAAAACCTCATCAAACCAACAAAAACAGTAAAAGCAAACAGACGACCTCACAGCGTGAAATACATGGGAAGCACGGAGCAAGAGACACGAGACCGTCACCAACGACTTCGGGCGTTAAAACAGAAGACGAACAGGCTGGAAGCCTGTCGCCATGGCGCCAAGTTCCGCCTCAGAGCGACCCTGCAGGCAGAGGAGGACTGTCCCCCAGGGTTTCTGAGGCGGTCAGCTTCCCGGAAGCAGACTGCCACATCTTCCCTCCCAAGGAGCAGCTGGTGGGTTCGAACCGCTGACCTTCAGTTAGCAGCCGAGCGCTTTAACCACTGTGCCACCAGGACTCTTCTTACGAACAGACTAAACCGTTCCATTATAAAAATCAAGGACTGGCAGAGTGGGTTAAAACACAAAACACAGCAGGAAATTAAATAACATGGCCGGGAAAAAAAAAGTTGAAATTAAAGGGATAGACTGAAAAAAGCTGGGGGAGAAGGGGCAGGCAAAGGCAAAGACTAGCAGTAGATGTGGGACACTGTTAGCAAGCAAGACGGAACGTGAAGTTAAAAAGAGTAAGGAGCATAAAGAAACAAAACGATTCTTTAAAAAACAGTTTATAAAGTAAAAATCATGAGGTTACACGTGTGAAGTCACGCGGCAGTTAAACGCATAAAGGGAAACTATTAAACGTACAGGGAGAAGCTGATTTTTAAACGTGACTACCAAAGATTGTATCCAAGTTACAGCAACACAACTGTTTCGGAGCCGGCCAAGTCTAGAGAGCAAAATTAAGTAACACAATTGACACGTTCAATGCAACAGGCTCATCCTGAATCCTCACACCCAGATAGCACGTACTCACACGTACACACACGCGCCCGTGTGCATGCACACACCCCCACGTGCTTTTTTAAAAAACAGCTTCAACAAGTTTACTTTGGTTTGTTACAATCATGTGCTTGGCTTGAAAAAAATGTGACAAATTTAAAAACGGAAACCTTACAGATTGTTCTCCCATCATAATCCGATAAAATTAAAATTAACGATACATGAGAAAAAAGAATTTCAAGAGACCCCACTATTTAAAAAAACGCCCCTCAGCAAACTTGGGTTCAAGAGGCATAAAAGCTGCAATTGCAGCCACTCTGGGAGTCAGTGAGAGAAGACTGCCCCCCAGCGGCCGTGGGCCTGGAGCTGCTGAAAAGATGGCCCCAGGGGAGGGGTCGCTCCTTGCTTTGGGAAATTAGAAAAACAAAGAAGAACACAAGAGAAACCGGGAAAAGTGTTCTTCTGACGCCCCAACAGAAGAAACTCCTTCTGAGCCTTGTGGGAAGAGAAGGACGAGAAACGAGAGAGGAAACAGGCCAGTGGCCAGCAGAAAGGATGGGAAGGTAAGGCCCGGGGAGGACTCAGAGGAGGCTGGGGGACATGGGCAGGCCGGTGGCTCCAGGCTTCCGAAGAACAGATCCATAGACCTCGGTGAGGCCACCCCTCCCTAGGGCCACAGCCCTGACAATGGCAGGGAGAGGGGCCTGGCCGCTGTGCAAATGACAGCAGGCAGACCACCAGGCACCCAGTGTGCACCTGCTAGGCTCCCTGCCCCAGCCCCTCTCAGGCCCCTGCGCCTTACCCCCAGCTCCTCGGCTATCTTCTGCCACTCCAGGTGGCCATGCCGTGCCGAGACGGCCTTCAGCCGCTCCACCTCATCCTCACTCCACTCCTGCTTGTTGATGCTCGGGTGCTCACAGTTCTGCCAGAACTTCCGGATCTCCTCAGCGCTGCGGCCACCTTCAAACTGCACAACAGACAGCCTGCATTCTGGGAGCCGTCGGTCCCACGGTGCCCCGTGTGCTCCCCAGGGGCAGGCCTGGGCCGAGCGGCCCCTCCCAGCCGCGCAGCACTCAGCAAGGAGGTGAGCTCTCCAGCCATGTCCCCAGCTCTGCACAGCTGCCCCCTGCAGAAGGGGCACCTCCCGTCAGCCGGGGGTGGGGGAGGGGCGAAAGGGGTGGAGGTCCTCCATGAAGCCCTGGCTGTGGGCACACAGCGTTAGACCCGACACCTGGCTGGAGGGTCTTGTCACCGTCAGGAGCCAGCAGCACAGTGGCCACCCAGGGCAGCCCCACAATGCTGGCCCCACCGCTGGTGACAAGCATGCAGGCTACGGGCTGCCTGGGGCTCCCTGCCCTGCCCCTCGACTCACGTTCACATTGGCGATCTTCTCCCAGTCGTGGCTGTCCAGTCTGGTCCCCAGAAGAGCCTCTTCCGGGAGCTGGCTGGAGGGACCAAGGCATGGTCACCCAGCCCGACCTTTTCCGTCCCCTCTGGACCCTTCAGAGCCCCATTTCCTGGATCCTTCCTACCAGGGCCCCATCTCCATTGATTTCCACCCGAGGCCCCATCTCCCTGGACATCCTGGCCCCACTAGAACCCCTCCAGCGCTCCATCTCCCTGGACATCCTGGGCCTCTGGGTCACCCCAGGGCCCCATCTCCTGACCCCCTGGCCCCCCAGGTCCCCCCAGGTCTCCCCAGGTCACGCCAGGACCCTGTCTCCTGACGTCCTGACCCCCCAGGTCACCCCAGGGCCCCGTCTCCCTGGATGTCCTGACCCCCAGGTACCCGTCTCCCTGGACGTCCTGGCCCCCCAGGTCCCCGCCTCACTGGATGTCCTCGACCTCCTTCTCTGCGTCTCGGAGCTGCTTCTCCAGGAGCTGTCTCTCCGTCTCGCTTGAGACCCGGCTCTGCTTCTGTTGCAAGTACTCAAGCCTGGGGGCCGGAAGGGGGGCCGAGAGGGTCATGCAGGACCATGTGGTCCACGTGCACCCCGAGGTGGGGCTGGCCTTCCGCTCAGAACAGCAGCTTAAGTAAGGAGCGGGGACCTGGCAGCCGACATGCCTGGCAGATGCAGTGCTCAGCCTCTGCACCAACTCCCTGCTGGCACCTTCCCCCCATCTCACCCCAGGCTGGGATCAGAGTAGAACCCGATGTACGCAGGAAGGGTGCTAATGCAGCGAGGAAGCCCACCCACCCCTGCCCCCAAAGACTTCGCTCTGCTCCTATCTTGCCCTGGGGTCCCAGGGCCGCCCTGGGCACTTAGGAAGGGGTCCTGTACGTCCCAGTCTCTCGTGCCAAGGCCAATAGCTACTTCTTAAACCCACAGTTGTCTGATATAGTGGACACCCGTGCCCCAGGCCAGGTAGGGAACACCAGCTTTCCCGCAGCGAAGGGGAGGGACCCCACTGTTGCCCAGCCCCTCCCACGACATCCCCCAGCTATGGGGCAACAGCTGCCCCGGGAGCCCAGCTGGGACTCCTGAGTGCACAGGACACTGTCCGTCTGACTGGTCCATCCCGCTGAACCAGGAGCTCACTCAGCATCCTGCCGCCTCCAGACCACAGCATGTCACAGGGCAGCGGGGGGAGACCCAGGCCAAGGACACACTGCCACCGTGGACACAACCAGGTCCACCCAGACCCTCAAGGAGGCCCTGCCACTTTTGCTCATGCTGCTGGGTCCTTGAGTGCCCAGCCTCGCCAGCTACAACATCACAATGGCCACGTAACACAAGTATTGATAAGCACAACGTAACAGATCGATAAACACAGTACAACGTACCAATAAACTCAATACATTGTAGCAACAAATACAACATGATGTATCAACACAGACGCACAGCAGATCCCGGCGCCCCGCTGACAGGAGAAAACAGAGACCCAGACAAGATGGCGTTGCCGGAGCCACGCGACGGCAAGCGGCCGCCCTGCCCGACCCTGGGGCACAGGTGCTTGATCACGCTACACAGCCACTTCCTTGGAAGGAAAGGAGGCCATTCGGGGACCCTCGTCCCTGCTGCTGGTGTCTGAGCCCAGCAGAAAGGCAGCAGGGGCGAGCGAGCATGCCTCTGTCTTCAGACTCACTTCAGTAACTTGGGCTGGAGCAGGCGCTGCAGACGGTCGCTCACCACAGACTTCCTGAGCAGGGTCTTCTCCCAGCCCTTCCCTGGGGAGACGGCGCACGGAGTGAGGGAGCCCACAGGACACACGCTCAGAACCCCCACCCCCACAGTCCTGGGCATGGTCTGTGGGACACATGCTCTCAGAGCCCCCCAGAGCTCACGGTCCCCAGCTCCGACCTGGCCCCTTCACCCAGCAAACAGCCTTGAGGCAGCACAGTCTCGGGCAGGGCCCCCAGGCTGGGTGCTCAGTCAGGCAGGGAGAGAGGCGGCAGCAGGCCGGCTCACCCACCCTCGGGGATGACATCCCCTTGATGCACTGCCCAGCGCGGAGCAGGCAGAAGTGCCAGGAGCCAGGCCCAGTGGTCAGGGCCTGCAGGACCCATGGCACTCGAAGGCAGGAAGGCCCAGACACCGTGGGATCCCAGGGACAGGCAGGGGCGGGGGAGGGTTGGCACAGCCCCCCGAGCGTGGGCAGGCGGGCCCTTACACTTGGTCACCAGAAGCTCCTCAAAGGACTTGACGCCCTGGGCCGCCTTCTCCCGCATGTCCTCATTGGCCGGGGGCCCCTGTCAGACATTAGAGCATCATGACATGGACAGACCACGACGTGCTCACCCGAGGGCCAGCACGCCCCACAGGTCTATGCCGGCACTCTGCTGGGGGCTGCGCCACGTGCCTGTGTGGGAGCTGCTCAGGGACATCACGCTGCCATGACCCCGAGTGCACGGGGACCATGAGCAGAAGGCCTCGCGGCTTCTCCCACCTCAATCAGGTGACCACCTACAGACAGAGGTCAGCCTTGCCCACTGCAGGGAGGGAAGCCTTGACCTCACCGAGGGAGGAAGGGGGTAGTAAGGAGGCTGGAGAGCACCATCCTGAAGGACCCAAGGACGTCCAGGACCCCCTCAGCAGGAAGGGGACGAAGGGCCTCCCCGCACAGCGCTGGCCCTCACTGACGAGGACATAGGTACTCACCACTCCGGTGACCTTGTCCTTGAAGTAGGGCTTCATGAAGTGCCCGATATACATTTGGGGGGGCAAGCTCTTCCTGCCCTTCATCTTGGGGCCCTTGGAGCCAGCCAGATCCCACGTGATCTCCTCCTGCAGCAGACACGAGGGGGCCAGGTGAGCGTGCGGCAGCCCGCGCGGGGCTGGAGCGTCAGAAGGCGTGTCCTGCCCGCCCTACCTGCTGCTCGCGGTTCTGGGCCAGCAGCAAGTTGACCTCTGTGATCTTCTCCTGCACGACTTCCTGGTAGACCATGTTCAGCTGCAGGCAGGTCTCTGGGTCCTCGGGGAGGTTTCTGTCCTTGGGGTCCTCCTCCTCGTTGCTGGCCTCACCCCACCTCTCTTCCTCCTGGAGACGAGACAGACCCAGTGCGTGAGAAAAGGAGACATGTGTCCTCGACCCTGGCAGCCCCAGGCTCACTTTCTGGCTGCTTCTTAAGGTCCATAAGGCTGCCCTCCCTGGGCCAGGCACACGCTGGGCCTTGGGAGACAGGGGTGGCCCAGCGTGCACCAACACCCTGACGCCGAGCCGGAAGCTGCTCTGTGGGGCGGGCACGGAGCACACTTGTGTTCACAAGGAGGCTCGGTCGCCCTCTCACTTGGTCGTGTGTGTTCTCTAACTTGCAAGGTGAGGAAACTGTGGTTCTGGGAATATCGTGGGGATGGGCGTGGTACAGGAAACAATGAGTTTTCACTCTCCGCAATAAACGTTCCTATAAAACGCGAGCTTTTAAAAAGAGATGTTGCTTTCAGCACGGGTGCGACAACAGCGTGCAGAAATGCGTGTGTGAGGTGAGGCCCTGCAACACTGCCCACGAGGACAGTTAGCAGCCAAGCACATCAACTGTCTGCACTCACTGATTTGACGGGAAAAACCAAAAAGCAAATCGTAAGTTTTCCCAAGTGAGGTAAAACTTGAAATAAACCACGATAGCTAGCTGTGGCTGGCACGACCGAGCACCTGCTTGCAGGCTCTATTAAGAAGTCCCCGGGGCGGCCCCGTGAGTGAGGTTCTCTGAGGGCCACCATCGCAAAGACCAGGCACAAGCACAGAGAGGGCTGCTCTGGGAGGAACCTGGCGGTGGGCTCTTGCCTGCCTTGTGACACCCCAGACGAGACGTACACGAGACATACAGGAGAAATCGCGTGACGTCCCAGACGAGACGTACACGAGACGTACA